TTATTGCTTCCACTCACACTTTCTTAGTCCTACAAACAAGGAGCACGTGTTGCTTGCCAATATATCCCCACTCAGCACAGCACCTGGCATAAAAATGTATGTTGAAGTAATTAAGTAATTTCAGAAAAGATAAATTCCAATTAGGAAAAAAGGTCTACAGATAGTGTGAGAAGAACTCTGGACTTGGAATGGGAAGATTCTGAGTAATCATTGTACATCTAATACAGAAGCCCAGTGACTTGAGCAAGTTTCTAATTAACTTCAAGATCAGTACGCTCGTCTCATCTCTCGAATTCCTTTTAGCTCAGAAAAATATTACGAATAGTATTCTCCAAGATATGTATATTACTTACAAGAAACTATCCACATTATAGTATTGGGTGTAATAGAGAAGAGTTAATTAAAATCTAACAGTCCCATACAATCATAACTACGTGTGTGTGTGTGTGTGTGTGTGTGTGTTATCATATAAAGCGTAACACCCAAGCCACAACTGGTGAGGTTTCAGTGGCTACAAGAAGTGTGCTTTGGTGACCTCTACTGGTCATGGCCAGTAAAGTCTAAATTTCTTCAGGTCAATTACACCTAACAAAAAAACCAATTCACTGTCTTATAGTCGGATCTGACTCACAGCGACCCCTCCTTGGGTTTCCAAGGCAGTAACAACAAAAACAACAACAATCACTATGGAAGCAGATTGCCCAACCTTCCTTCCAAGGAGTGGCTCGTGGGTTTGAACCGCCAGCCTTCCGGTTAGTCAAAAGCCTTAGGCACTACGCCACCAGAGCTCCCAATGGCCTTATCTGCATGCAAAAGCTAAACAATGAATGAGGAAGACCAGAGAAAAATTGATGCCTTTGAATTATGGTGTTGGAAAGGAATACTGAACATCCCATGGACTGGTAGAAAAATGAACAAATCTGTCACAGAAATACAGCCTGAATGCTCCTTAGAAGTAAGGACGGCCGACCTCGTTTCACATTACTTTGGCCCTGTTATCAGGAGGGACCAGTCACTGGAAGAGGACATTATGCTGGGTAAAGTAGAGGGTCAGTGGAAATGAGGAAAACTCTCGATGAGACGGACTGACAGCGTGGCTGCAGCCGTGGGCTCAAACAGCAACAGTGGTGAGAATGGCACAGGCCTGGGCAGTGTTTGTTCTGTTGTACAAAGGGTCCCAACTCGACGGCCCCTACAACAGTCATGTTTGTGAAGATCCAGGGGAGAGGGGAGGGAAGACTGCCAGCCAATGGTTTTCCCCATGTGAAAATTATATGCAGCTGTACTTGCCTTTAACTAGATACATTAGTGACCTATAGCAAGTACATGATTGAAGGGAACACGGGTAAGGAAGTGGAAATAAACACCTCCAGTCCCTTTCCAGTTAAGACCCTATGATCTTAACTAGCAAAAGCCAAGGAGTGTCACTCAGAAATGCAAATGACTCTGAGATTTAAATAAAGAAAAATAAATTGTTGTAATTCCTAATCCCTACACCTGTGATTCTAATCCCACTTGGGCAGGGTTTGTCTTTGTTATGTTAAAGAGGCCATATCAGTGTAGCACGTGTTTTAAGCCAATCACGTTTCAGGTGTAAAAAGAGCAGATTAGGACAAAGGAGAAGCAGAAAACAGAGAAGTGAGATGCCATGCCACCTGAAGATCACCAAGGAGCCAAAGGAATAAGGACATTCCTCAAGAGTTGGCAGAGAGAAAGCCTTCCCCTCAAGCTAGTGCCCTGAATTGGATTTCCAGCTTCCTAAACTGTGGGAAAATAAATGTATTTGTTAAAGCCACAACTTGGAGTATGTCGGTTACAGAAGCACTCCCAAAACCAAACTCACTGCCTTCGAGCCAGATCCGACTCATAGCGAACCCTCCTTGGGTTTCCCAGGCAGTATCACTACAGAAGTAGACCACCCAACTTTCCTTCTGAGGAGTGGCTGGTGGGTTTGAACCACCAGCCTTCTAGTTAAAGTCAAACACCTTAGGCACTACTCTAACAGAGCTCCCACTATGCTACCAGAGCTCCTAAAGCAGTCCAATACTATGTACTGTCAAACCTCCATTTAAAGGTAAAAGCTGCTTCCCTCCCCAGTTCATCCTGCGTCCGGCAGACAGAAGGTGGTGAAAACAATATGGTGAGGTGAGGGCTGTCTCTAGTTCCTCGCTTTTCACTTTTACAAGGAAGATCTCTCCTGCCCCGCATCCTTCACCTCCATTCTGACCCCTCGGGAATGACTGACTGGCACCCAATAGTCATTTTCCCTCACCCAGGTAAAATCTCTCTCACGGGCACTTTGTGGATCCTGCAGAGAACCCTCCACACGCCTCACCCTAACTGCTGGCAAGCTCTCGTCCCCAGTTCCCTTGGTCCCCAGTTCCCTTGGTGCCAGTGAATTCTCATCTCTGCAGAACGGGTGGCTGGTCGCATATTGTTCTATCCTCAGGCCCCATCCTCTTGAAGGGGTTCTCTTGGACCGAATATTAAAGAAGGACATGTCACGATGATTTCTTATATTATGATTGGAATCTGACAAGAGCCCAAGCTGTTCACTAAAATAGAGAGCAAGTGCACAAGCCTGTGAGTGCACACACGCATCCATGTCTGCATCTGTTTGTTAAGGAGCCCTGATGGCACAATGGTTAAGCACTCAGCTGCTAACCAAAGTCAGCGGTTCGATCACAGCAGCAACTGCACCCGAGAAAAGACCTGGAGATCTGCTCCATACACACTCCCACCCATGGCCGTGGAGTCATTCCGACTCATATCGACCATATAGGATAGAGTTGAACTGCCCTGTAGGATGTCCAAGGCTATAAATCTTCATGGAAGCAAATTGCCTCATCTTTTTTCAATGAAGCAGCTGGTAGGTTTGAACCGCTGACCTTTTGGTTAGCAGCTGAATGTTTAAACACTGCACCAGCGGGGCTCTTTCCCTGAAAGATTAGCCTAGGAAACCCTATAGGCGGTTCCACTCTGTCTTATAGGGTCACTATGAGTTGGAATCGAGTTGATGACATTAGGTTTGGTTTTTTTTGTTCTCGATACTCTGCGATCAGGAATGACTCTTTTTAAATGTTCCAGAAAATTCATGGTGAGCCACGTCCTGTCACCTGAAGCACCTTCTTTGCAAATGAGGTCAAGTACAAGAGCGGTGGACCAAGATCCTGTCATCTGCAACTTTGTGAATGCTAGCCAATCAGAAGTGTCCCAACTGTACCCCACCTTACCTGTGGTCCTTGCCTTGATAACTCTGTAACCCCTCGGGGCACTTGTTAAGGGCTTCTTGACTCTGCGATTCCCCGTGTTGCAAAACGGCTTTTTTGCAATAATAAAACCCTTGTTTTTAATTGGAAACAGAGTTATAGTTCTTTCACCACGACAGCTCATGGATTTGTCGGAAAGAACAAATGCCATGATGAAGTATTCATTGTCTGGCACATTGCAAGCGCTCCGTAAGCGTTAAGCCGAGGAGGAATTAGTGGTTTTTTTCGTGTCTTTGAGGGACCCCCTAGAGAAGGCGAGTAAGGCCTTCTATCACTTCTACCACTAAAAGACTCATACTAAGCGAATCCCAGGGTTTTTCCTCATGGTTCACCGAACAAACTTCCCACGTTGGTACCCTCGTCTAGAGACAGGGCCGGGACTCGATGGAGAACCCCAGAGGCCTGAACACAGCCTGTGATTGACCTGCAGACACCAGCACCGGAACCTAAACTCTTTGACTCCGAGTTTCCTCCGCTTCCGCCGGCGTCTTCTGCTCAGGGAACGGGCGCGAACATAACTTCCGGCTGCCCTGAGCGGCGCCAGCAGCCTATACCAGTGAGACTGCAGTGCGCCGCTCCCTCTGCCCGGGTGGAGGTATCCGCTGTCGTCACCGGGAGGAGTCCGATCCGGCCGGACGCGCGTGATCATGTGGCGGCAGCTGGCTCGCGCCGGTACGCCGTTCTTGCAGGTGCCGCTGTCAGGTGAGAAGTTTTGGTCCTTAAAGAAAACTACTCCCCTTTGCCTCCGCACCCCTAATCCTATACCTCCCGCACCCCAAGGCAGGCTCGGTAAATGGTTGCTGGACCCTCCTTAAGAGGCTTCGCGTTCCCAACGCCTCCCACACACACGGATTTGTGCAGAGAGATCGCAGGCCCGTATAGGGGTCGACGTCCGGAAACCCGATTGGTCTCTTTGGGGCCCCTGTGTGAGCTCACTCCGGCAGGAACTTTGGCACAGACCGTACTAAGCCTGGCGTTGATCCCTTCGTGTTTGGCCTGATTTGTCTCTACAGGTTCTTGGGCCGCGTCGCCCGCCAGTGCTGGCCTGAAGACGCTGCTTCCGGTGCCAACTTTCGAAGGTGAGCGCGTTTGTCGCTGTCGTATTAGTCTTTTCCCTGATGGAACCCAGCAGAGTAGGTGAAGACGTGGTAGTGCTCTTGTGTTTCCTACCCCCATTCAGTAATTGAGTATTTATTGAGGGCATACTATATGCCAGGCAGGTCTCTAAGCACTAAAGATAAAGGGAAGAGAGAATCCCTGCTCCCATGGAGCAGATGTCTAGTGGAGTATCTCCCCAAGGGTCTACCACTGGTGCAGGGAACAGGGTCCACCCTCAGCCAATTGGCCTTGAATTTGGACTCTTCATGTTCTCTCCAAATGAGGTTACATATGTGCAGTCATTTAAAAACGTGAAAAGCAGGAATTTGTTAAATATAAACATTTAAGGCATGCCACAATTTTGGAAATCTGGTATTTTTTTAAATACTGTGAACTACATAAAAGTTCAAAGAGACTTGGACCTCAGAGGGTCTTACCCTGCAATACATAATTATTAAAACTAAATATGCCCTAGAAATATGTATTGACTTGTGAGAGAAAGTATTCCTGTAACAAGTTACTCAGTTGTGGCATATAAAAGTTGAGGAGGGGGGGTTTATCTTAAACACTCCTGTTGTTTTATATTTGACTCTGTCATAGAGCCATGTTTGTTTTACCAGAGAAACGTTTAAAGTGACTTACGGGTTAACATTTCTTTCCTCCATTGTCAAGTAAAGATCATACTTCAGGACAGAGCGTGCCTGGCCTGCAGTTGTGCCCGTCCACCCTCGCTCAGCCCCCCGGCACTCAGCCCCACTGCACACTGCAGGGTCTGTGCAGGTCTCGGAATGAAAAGCCCTGGCCCTATAAAGGGAAGAGCACTGACTGAAGGACTCCTGGGTTATGAATCTCCCCAAGAAAGGAGCAGTGCTGGAGAACTTCAATATTTTCACATACAATATAGTTTTGTTTCGTTATTTTCCTGTACTATGCCCCTTAACATCCAGAGAGGCTGTGTAATATTTTTTTAAAAAAAGGTGTTTTACCCACTGGGTTTCAATCCGTAGTCTATAGGCCTCCGATTCCTCTCTTATGAAGCCAGTATTAAAATCCTAGCTATCTAATGTTCTGTTTCTTGACCTGGGTGATAGTTACGTGGGTGTGTTCATATAGTCACCTTGTGTAATTCAGTTGTGTAATTCATTTTTCATTTGGCCCTTTTTATTTGTATATGTTAAACCTTAATGAAAGTTCAAAAATTAAAAAAAAAAGAAAGATGCCCTATAAAATACCAAGGTTATACATCTGTTGTAAGGAGTAAATGAGATAATGTATATAAAGCATTTAGTTCAATGTCTAGCACACAAGTAAACATGCATCTTCCCATACCCCCCCCAAAAAAAGAGTTACCTAGTGCTGTTCTGACAGGGTCTTATACCACTCTACTTTCCCAAAAAGTCAGTTTTAATGTTGAGCATGGAGTAGGCATTTAACAATGTACCTTGGTTTGCTACTTTCAAGGGAATATTTGCATTAACATTGTCATAGCCAAAAGGTTCCAGTGTCAGTAAAAGCATCCAGAAGGTAAACTTAACATGCCTTTGGAAGTACTTGTCCAGTGTAACTTCCTTTTAAGACTTCCACCCCACTGCTCTTTTTCAGAAGAAAACAGATCTTGGGAGGTGTGTACTTCCATTTACTCTTGGTTATCTGTGTTCCATTTAGATGTTTCCATGCCTGAGAAGCCTAAGCTTAGATTTATTGAAAGGGCACCACTTGTGCCGAAAGTGAAGAGAGAACCTAAAAACCTGAGTGACATACGGGGACCTTCCACTGAAGCCACTGAGTTCACAGAAGGCAGTTTTGCGATCTTGGTGAGTTTAGTAACGAGTTTAGTAACTCTTTGAGTTAGTTCTAGTCTTTTCTCCCGTGTCTGTCAGCAGCCTCCAGTTGCTGTTCACAGTGATGAGCACAGAGGTTGCTGGATAGCCAGTAAACGTTGTGTCATGTTTCTTTTCCTTCTGGAGCCAGTAACGTAAAACCAAAAGGAACTACCTCATTTGCCCATAATGAGACCATCAGATCTTTTCAGATGTATGATAAAAATTAAAATATCCATGGCTTGGGATATGGATAGCTGTTTCCTTACTTTTACTAGGTAGCTTCCATGATGACTTCATAGCAGTAGCTAAACAAATGGACAAGGACTAGGATTCAATCTCCAGCAGGCCCGCTTTGTGGTGTTTTAGAGTCCTCTTCCCACAGCCTTCATGCAGCCCCTACCACCTCTCAGAACCTCAGGCCCACTCCTCATGTCTCATTCCGTTCCAGCTGTATTAGCTTTTACTCAAACTTGCCAAGCCCTTTGCTTTGTCAGGGCCTTCTCATACACTGTTCTCTACCTAGAACATCTGTTGTTGTTTTTCTCTTGATTGGTCCTTATCATTCTGGCCTCAGCTTTAACTCTTACCTCCTCAAAGTGGCTTTCCCTGGCCATCCACTGAAGTGGGTTCACTCTTGTTCTCCTATCACTGTGTCCTAGCTTTTCTTCCATGGCATTTACTAGAACTTAATATTTTCATGTGTATCATGGAAGCCATAGTTACTACAAAAGAAGAGACATTAGAGCCCATTAAAGATACCCAAGTGCCCATGGGGTTCTAATTTTCTCGTTTACTTTTAGGCACTGGGTGGTGGTTACCTCCACTGGGGCCATTTTGAAATGATGCGCCTGACAATCAACCGTTCTATGGACCCCAAAAACATGTTTGCCATATGGCGGGTACCAGCACCCTTCAAGCCCATCACCCGCAAGGGTATGGGGCAACGCATGGGAGGAGGCAAAGGTGCCATTGATCACTATGTGACACCCGTAAAGGCTGGCCGCCTCATAGTAGAGCTCGGTGGGCGTTGTGAATTCAAAGAAGTACAAGGTTTCCTCGACCAGGTTGCCCACAAATTGCCCTTTGCAGCAAAAGCTGTGAGCCGTGCGACTCTAGAAAAGATGCGGAAAGACCAAGAGGAACGAGAACGTAACAACCAAAACCCCTGGACCTTTGAACGCATAGCCACTGCCAACATGCTGGGGATACGGAAAGTACTGAGCCCATATGACTTGACCCAGAAGGGACGCTACTGGGGCAAGTTCTACATGCCCGAGCGAGTGTAGTGACAGTATGAACAATAAATGGACATAGGCTACTGGAAGAGAAGGAATCTTCATCTTTATGCCCATCAGCTTACCCTGCAAGGCATGGAGTAGCCCCTAACATCATCAGAATAGACCCGGTGGCAGTGGGTTTGCATTTTTTTTGGGGGGGGGGGTATGTCATAGCTAAGCAGCAGCATGTGAGGTAACTTTTGTGAAAATATATTACCACATTTTTTTAAGTACATGTATGTATTTAAAATGTATTTAAAATTAAAATTTGAGCATCATGTCAGGGAATAACTTCTCACTGGTCACTGCTAATCCCTTCAGTGATTAAGAAACAGTCCTGTTAGGGGCTCTGGTTCTCCCAAGTACAAGATGAATGTCTTCAAGGCTAAAGCAAATGTTGGCACCCCCCACCTCTTACGCAAGTCAGAACTGAGGGCTCTACTATGTTTTTTATGTATATACACTTCAGGAGCGAGTTTCTATGAGATTTTACTAGTTACAAACTCAGTAGTGTTGGTGGAACAGCGAAGAAAAAAAATGACAGTTCTTAGGTTTATTGATTTAATAGCTATTTATTGATGCCCAGCTACCCATCTCACTCTTGGAGGGAAAATCTTAGACAGTATGGCAAGGAACATATACCCTTGCCTTTTAACAAAAGGAAGCGATGAAAATGAGTTGGAATTGTGTGGCCTAGGTATGAGGTCCTTTGCAGAGAGTGTTTGGCTCTAGCTCTGTGTCTGTGGCATCGAGTAATGTCCTGTGCCACAAAGCACTAAAATCATTGCTGGATGAATGAGGGCCCATGTGATTCAAGTCCTGTGGTTCCAACTGCCCATTTGCCTTTAACAAGGTTAATCTGTTTTTCAGAGCTGGCCAATAGTGTTCTATCCGTTATTAATATTAAGAAAATATAGCTTGATAGAATTACTACACCATTTGCTTTTTAATATCTCACTTATATCCAGCAAAAAAAAAAAAAAAATACTTTCAAGGTAAATCTAAACAGTCCTCAAGAGCTGGGTACTATAACTTAATATACTTCAGTGAACCTTCAATAATGTAGATAATCACTAAAAATTATTCGTATTAGAGTTCATATTCACATGGCCACTTTTAAAGCTGAACACACCTGAACCTTGAATTGGAGACAGCGTTTGCAACAGTTTCTTGTACACACAACGTTGGCCCACAAAGTTAGTTGCAGCTAACAACGTGAATCGGCTAAGAAGTGATGTAGGGCCTAGCCTCACTTCTCTTGCTTACCTAACATCTTCATCTTTTTTGTTATGGTTCATAATCGGATCTGCTTGCTGGAGTGTGGTACTGATGATCACTTGCAGATCAGCATAAATCTTTGGGTCCATTTTAGTTACTGAACGAAACACAACTGGGGCCCATCTTCACAGAATGAGAGGCTGTGATGGTAGAATTCCACCACCACCAGTGTAAAACTAAATAAATAAATAAATAGCACGCTAAGTACATGTTGTGATAATGGGAGCTCTGATGAAGCATTTTTGGATGAGTGGGTCAGTCCATTCCTAAGCAGCTTCATACAACCTGATGCTAAAACCATCTTCCCAGTGATGCCTGAAAGGGTTTAAGAGTAATCCAAGGACTCAGGGGCAAAAGCAGTTTTATGACAGTTGACTAAGTCAGCAAGTGTTTACTGAGCACCTGTAAGTAGCAAGCACTGTGCTAAGCACTGGGACACAGCAGAGAGCAAGATCGACATGGTGCCTGTCCATAGATACTCTTAAGGACGACTACTGGCCTGAAGAAGAAATCAGATGCAGGGCTGATGGAGGTGAGGCCTAGACAGTTAAGAGCAGAAGCAACAAATGCCCTGATCTTGCGGATCAACTTGACAGCAGTAAAAACAACATCCTACTGAACTGGGTGTTCTACAATACCTGCTGCTTCACAGCCATATCCCTGGGGCAGGCTCAGAGTCTCATTTCCCAAACAGGTGTTCAATATGCCTTCTCTACCCTACAGTCCCTTCCAACCATCAGCCCAACCAGCTTATATTACTGGACTCCCTATTCTTCACTCCTGCCCCCCC